CACTGTTGTCTGTGAAACATTCCTCAGCCATTCTTCTATGGCGCCGTTGTGGGGTGTTATTTTATTATCTGTTCATAGTTTCTTGTTCTCATGAGGTATCCTTAGGTTATGTTGCCATTGGCTACTCATTGGTGTCCTGTTGTTTTCTTTGGTGGTTCCTCTTCGTGCATGCTTCATCATTCCATGGCTACAATAGGTCTGGAGTTGATTCATTCTTCCATCATACTTCTGGATATTAGCCATGTCAGTACCCGCGCATTCGGTGTTGTGTGTATTCTCTTCAAGCGCCATCTCTTCCCCCTCTTCCTGCCTGTTTAGTCTTTTGGTGTTTTTTTTCGTAGATCATATCAGACTTCATTCCATTCCATTCTTTCCTCTTTATTAACTTAACCTCACTGTTGCAAAATTAATATGACGCTTCTATATTCGTCATTGATCCCTTCTCAACCTACTCTCATAATGGATTTCCTGTATTCTATTCCTGTCTCTGTGTTATTAAACGGCACGTGTCGAAGCTTCCTCACGTGACTCCTTTCCTTTTCAACACTTCCTGTCATATCTTTTATTTTATACATGGATACGTTTAAAATGACATATGCATTCTCCATATGTATATTTTGAAGTGTTATCTGTGTCTCTGTCTTATTAGTATTTTTAATATTATTTTAAGGACGATATCATAACCATATACACCACTGCTCCTATTGTTGTGAATATTTCATGCATCCCTTCTATATGATATTAACCTAGATTGGCTAATAAGGAGTGTAATAGGTATTGACTATTATTAAAACTCCTGTTATAAACAGTGAGCATGCCTATATCATATGTGGAGATTCTAATGGAGACTGCGTTATTCCGCACATATTCTGTTTTAGGGATAGTGATATAAAGGTATTGACTTCATGACTTTATGTCATTTTCCACTGCATCCCATGTGGCACCCCATGTATAATGTTCTGTTATATGTATTCCCAGGCAGACTTCTTGTGTGTGTCTTATGATTATCCTTATTGAGACATGTGCTTCCAATTTGATTAGTTCATGAACCCGAGTCCTCCCTGCCTCTTCCTGTTCTCCTGTAGCGGGTTGTTTTTCTTCTTTTATTTCTGTTTCTATTCTTTTCTTTTGGTTTTATACACTTAGTATGCGGAATGTTTCTCAAACTAGATGTTCGTAATCATATCTTCCATTCCTATTCCGGTTCTCTTTTCACATGTGGGATGCCCTCTATGTCCAACCCTGTATTATGTTGTGTTATCTGGAACATAATTGGTATCCGTTCTATAGAATCATACCTCCTATGTCTGTTATGATTATACTGACTCCATCGCCCCGATGTTGGTTTCCTGTTTATATTATTAATCGTTCAGATGTGCCTCGCTATGCAGCGTCGTCTGTTTCCCCCCTGTGCAAGCCAATTCTGTTCGCTTGTTGGTTTTGATTCAATTATCCGTGATAGCCTCTGTTCACTTTTAATACACATCTCTATATTAATATCCCTTATAGATGCTACACTCCCCTCCAATAATCACAGCGTCTTCTATCTGAGGCTAATTTATTTTATCCCTGGAGGCCCGAAGTCAGAGTCGATATTTGATCATATTCTACGCGGTTATATGCCCGCTTTACTCTATTTATATTATATCTATCCCTCGTTTACTTCTCTCATTAATCATGTCTCCTTTGTGTTGTGTGCTCTATTATTACCTGGTTCCAGTGTCCTGAACTGTGGTACGGCTTGTATCCTTATGGAAATATATCTGTAATTCCTTCCTTATCCCCCATCATAAGGTTATATACCTTCTATGTATTCCAGGAGGAGCTATCATAAATGAGATGCTTACGTGTATGTTTCGTCCTCCGGGTAGCTTTTTATCAATACCATTATATAACTGCCCCTATGTGAATGCTGTCCAGGTGTGGTGTCATTTAGCCCCAGTCTGTAACCTCCAGGTTCTTGTCAATTATATATGGAATCCTATACCGCCGCTACCGCTATTGGGGCCCGTGCTAAAAATTCCCGTCTATGTATCATTATATATGGTGTCGTATTATAAATGGATTCTTTAGTTTCTCTTATAATGCTCCCCCCCCCCCGTCATTAAGGTAGTATATTCATAGGACGCCGCCGAGTTCGGCCTCGTTCTCTCTTATTTTCCTCTCTTATTAGGAGACTCATCCTCAAGCTGTATCTCGTCCCGTACCTGTCACATTCTCTATGTTCCATAATCCGTCTGTCGTGATATCTATTATTCCCTCACTCCTCCTTTTTCCTTCCTCCCTTTCTCTCTTGCCTGAGTTTTTCTGTTTGTTTCTGCCTTTCTTAGAGTGAGTATCCTATATATTTCGTGCATGTAAACACTCTCTTGGCTGTGGGTCATCGTCTTTGTACACTATTCTTATCCCCGCGGACCTCCTGTGTGTATTTTAAAATCTCTAAACATGTTTCTCCCAATCTTCTGTACTTATACCTCTACTGTCCGGTGCCTCTTAAGTTTCTCTGTACTATTCCTCTATTCCTATGGCCTGTGTCATTTTAGTTGCCACACAGACTTTAATAATTTATTATGGCTCTTGTTCAGTCGCTCCCTCTCTTCGTTTTTGTTCTTTCGCATTTTATCAAGCCCCTTCCCTTTGTGATGGTAAGAGGCATTTATTACATAGATGGCTGGTGTGAATTGTGTAATGTATTACAACGTTGGTCTGTCCCAATTATGGATTTCATTAGTCTGGTTATCTTCCGGTTCTTATGTTATGTCGTTGTATTTTTTCACTATTTATCCTGACTCGTTCTATCTCTTTCGTAATTTCTGATGCTACATAGGGACTGCCCTACCTTATTTTGCTCATGTAGCTTAATTACTGCCTTCTGTTTATAATAATATGTATTCTGTTTTTCTAATGTCTTAGCCTCGGTCCCCAAATATCCACTAAATCCTTTTGTCCCAGTTCCTTACATATGATTTCTATAAGAGGCGTCCTTGGTTATATCGTATCTCCTCCTTTCCTTCTTTAGGTCGCGATCTCACTTCTATGTCTGCTACCTCGTAAAATACATAATGTGCCGGTATCCGTAATCTTCTAAATATATCCCTCTGTTACTGCCCCTCATGCCTATACACTGACCTCATCCCATCCATGCTGTTTTTACTTTTTCTATTCCCTTCCGTTACTATCTATATACGTTGTGACTTCATGTTTTTTGTCTTATTCATTCCAGGACACTACCGCCTGCCTCCCCCCTGTCTCCCGTTTTTTCCTATTTTACACTCACATTCTGCATCTTATCCCTCATTATGCATCCTACCCATTACTTCAGTTTCTGCCTCCTTCGATGTTCCTGAATTTTTCCCGTGCTGTGATTTGTTAAATATACCCCACGATGTCCCATCCAGACCTCTGGTCCTCCGTTTTATCGCCTCCCATGTGTCCGTCTCCCATTTGTAGGAAGATTCTATCTGTTGTATCTGCTTCGGGAATACTGTATACCATTCTCTTCATTCTATGTCTAATTACACTCCTGTGCTGTAGCCTATTCGACGCCTTTTTCTCTTCCTTCCCCGATACAGGCGTACTTGGATACCGTACTACACATTTCTTATGTAACCACAAGATTGTGTCGAGGGTTTCGCAGTATGCGTTATTTTATTATGAATACGCATATCTACAGAATGACCTGTCTTCATTGCAGTTTTTGGTACTCCGGTGCCCTATATTACAGTCAGACTATTATTCGCACATGTTTCATACTATAGGTTCTGCACTATACAGAGTCAGATGGTTCTATTCCTAAGTTACTATCGTATTTTGTATTTCCTACAATTGAATTTTTCGGGGATTGTAGATGCTCTTTATGCTTTTTTCTTATTGAGATTATCTCTAAGCCGAATGCCTCTTCTACTCCGGAAGAAGCCGCTTCGGACTGTTTCCGATTAAAGCTCCCTTAGGGCAAATGGATGACAGCGTCTACTGTCTTAATGATCCCGTCCCGAGGCCTCATTCTGAGAACTTCATGGATATGATCTGGCTTCCCCTCTCTTATGATGTGTTTAATTCATACTATTTCTCTATCTAATACATTGTATTCCATAAGTGGACAAACTGACACAACGGAGCGGCGGATGCACAGCAATGAAATAAAGATTCCTAATTTCTGCGTCGACTTCCTTCATTTTAAATTTGTTACTTCATGTTACTCCTCTGGTGTGAATGCTATGTGATCTTCATAAAATTTACAATACATAGGTTTTCAGAAATATATAAGTCCATAGAATAATCAGAAACTATACATATATATCAGTCATGGTGCACCATCATATAGAGTATACGGCTTCTCGAATATATAATAAATGAGTCCAGATAAAGGAAAAATCAAAAGGGAAATTACAATAATCGAAATAAGAAGAAGAAAAAAAAGAGAAATTACCAATAAAACAGAAGAAAACATAAAAAGAAGAAAAGAAAAACAGGAATGGAAATCCGAACACAAGAGAGAAAAAAAAAAAAAAAAAAAGTGAAAAATGATCCCGTGCAAAAGATCCCCTAAAAAAAAGAAAAATCACAAAAAAGGAATGAGACAAGAAAGATAAATCACTTATGGCATTCATGTAACCTTGTAGAATTAAGTGAATTCTTTTCCTATTTTCCGCTGACCATGGGGTTTTTCCATCATGACCAATAAAAAAATAATTTAAATATGGGAAACAATTATGTGTGTATATTCGCGGAAAAATATAATGAATTCTTGTGCAAAGAAAAAATCATTTTTTTGATGAAAATATGTTACTGAGAACAACAACACAAATAAGTTTGGAGGAAGATTTTTTTATTTTTCTTCTATCCCACGTATTCACAATTTTAAGAATTTTTTTTTTTTTGGGAAGGAATAATGTAAGGAAATTTAATATACCTATGGGTTAAACACAAATTTGCACAGCATAAGCATGAGCAAATCCCAGCTAAGGGGAGGCTTGTAGCAAAGTATGCGACCATGAAATATGGTAATATATCCTGTTGCTAAGTACTCATATAGCAAGAAACCATATATTCAACATCCATCGGTTTCATAATTGTTCATGCATAGCCCCCCCAAAGTGGCACATTTCCTGTGCTCAGGATTATCACGAATATGATTTCGTATCTGATGAAAATGGCTATGTTGTTGAAGTGCCATTAGAGAATGTCCAGGATAATTTGGAGGTCACAACTCAGGAACCGGTGGATATTGCTTCCCGTAACTTGGAATTTTTAGAGCTCGAACCAGTACAGACTGCTGTGAATAACTCGGCATTTGTGGCCCGCTAACCAGTGGCGGCTGTCCAAAACAATTCGGTAATTTTGCCTCAAAAACCATTGGCGGCTGCTCAAAATGGATTCATTTTTTCGCCTCAATAAACGGTGGGGCCTATACAGAATAGCTTCGCATTTTCGCCCCCAGAACTAGCGGCGCCTGTTCAAACCCGGGGGGGTGGTTGTGTAGGATGCCGTGGATGCTGTTCATAACAGTTCCGACCTTTGGTCACAAGAACCAGTGGTATGTGTGAAGAATCATGAGGGAGGTTCTGTTCAGGGACCAACTTGGATTTCACAAAGCAGTGGAACTTCTATGGAACAAAGGAACAACAAAAGTGCTAGAAGTGAAAATACTCATTCATATAATGGAGCAGCCGACAAGAGAAATGGTTTAAGTTTCTTCGCCCTAGCACAAGCATCAAGGGAGGATAACAATTTCTGTGGAAGCATGGGGATCTCACTGAGGAAATTTGAAGATAATGAAACAGTCCATGAAGAAAAAAACAATAAGAGAAGAATGAGTTTCAACTTTAGCAATGCTATACAGACTGGGTATAACAACTACAATGAAGATAATGAAGAGTCGCCAAGACCAATGGCAAATTATCCCAGTAATTATGACATATACAGTAGTGAGGATTTACCCCATTTTCCACAGAACAAGAGAAATGCGTATATTGTGGACCCAAGAGAAAACCACAGCAGTGACAACATTTTCGAGAGCAAGTCCACACAGATGCAGCATATGTATAAGAGCAGTGCGGGGACATGGAAAAATCGTAAAAGTGAAGACGCATTTTTCAAGGGCGAGGTCCACGAGAAGGGGAACCAACATTTGTTCTATTCTGTGAATCCCATTAAGAACGACAACTCTCATGAGAGAAGCATAGCTGATAATTCATGCAACCCGTTAGGACCTAACCAGGGCAACTTTAGCAGTGGCAACTTCACCAGTGGTAACGTCAACAGTGGCAACATCAAAAGTAGGAACTTAAGCAGTGGTATCTTCAGCAATGACAATTTGTTCAATAACCGACACCCAAGGATTGGTCTCCACAGCACTATAAACAACTTGTCACCACGAACCTCTTCTAGCCAGAGTGATAATAACACCGACAAGATTGACGAAGCATCACACCATTCATATTTTAACAAGGGTAATCTTAACAATGGCAATCCGTTTTATAACATAGACCAAGTAAAAAGTCTCCCGAGGAACATGAACGATTTGCCATTATCAGCAGAGGTTATCCAGGACGAACACCACACCGATGATGCACCACATCATTCAAAATCCAACAAGAGTGTACTTCAACACTGGGAAGTTCCTATGGACGATATGTTTAAATACAGACAACAGGAAAATCACCACCGAAGAAGCATAAGAAGCTGTTCATCATCGAGAAGAATGACCAATATCACCAATAGCAGCCGCATAAGAGAGGTGAATAATATAAACACGGAAAATATCCATGAGAGACATGACACCGCTGAGTCCCCATTCAAAAATGACAAAGAAAATCAGGCAGAAGAAAAGGCAATAAAGGGTATATCAGAAAGAGAGCTTGTGACAGGAGTTGTGGAAAGGAAAGCAAGAAAGGCACAGACAGCACTATTGGCAAGAGAGGCTGTTGCGACCACTGAGGCAAAGAAGAGAAAAAAAGAAAACGCAGATTTATTCACAGGAGGATATGCAGAAGTACACAAGGCAAAAAAGGCAAGGAAGGCGAAGACTCCTACATTGACAAGAGAAGCCGTGGCATCCAAAGATGCTATGGCAGTAATAGCGGCTGAATTCGCAGATATCAGGCAAGGAAAGATAGTAGGCTCCAAAAAAAGAAAAAAAACAGCCATATGAGAACAGGCAGAGACAACGAAAGAAAGAGGCAGAAGTATTACGGAGAAGATAGCTGCACGTACTAGGAAGATAAAAAGAAAATTGGTGCAAGGCAATAAATGGTAAAAAAAATGAAGTACAATAAAAGAAGGAGATATTGCGAACAAAAAAAGGAATAATAAAATAAAAAACCAATAGCGTAATAGAATTACAAAAATTCTAGAACGTGTACATAATAGTTGCCATTACTTAACAGTTAACCTATGATACAGGAAAAAAAAAAAGAAGTTTCTAAAAAATAACGGTGCAACCATTCCGTTACACAAGCGAGAAAAACCTATAATATCAGTTTTTAATTCATGATGAAACATTTCCTTACATAGAGACTATATAATTATTTTATTTGCTCTTGCAACTAAGATGCGTATATGTAATGCCACCAAAAATGTGAAGCTAAATTTTGCTAACACGTTGTCTTATTGAAGCGGTAGAGGGAATTGTAGCCCAGCGTAATTTTAGATAGATAAGAAGAGAACAGTGCAGAAGGACACCATAAAAGGAAGGACACCGTCTTGCTTTACAAAAATGACTTTTTCCCTGAACTGTTCTATAGCCTATCTTTGCGTATATTGCGTACAGTGGAAGGAGAGGAGAGGGGTCATGTCAAATGTGTGGGAGTCATATGTAACGCCTCTAGTTGATACGTGTATTCTACCTTCACTCGCCTAAGGGTTCAGCTGAAAATTGTAGAATAGGACTGCTTTGAATTGGATCGCGGGTTTTCTTTCGCTGCCATATATGGATGATTTCGCATCATCTGTAAGCAAATATGAACAAGGGTTGGCAAGTATGGCTCAGTGGGTTCCTGGGTGTATGACTAAGCAGGCACGTACTGATGCAATAATACAGGCGTGAATAGGAAATATATATATATAATGTCATACCCTGCGTGTGCACATTCTGACGAGCTCGTCTGGAACCTTCTATGCCTCCTGCAATGCCCCCAGTAAATGCGCCACACAGGGCAAAAATGACAGATTTGCGCATCAGGGTGAACACCTCATTTTTTCAATTATTATATTCAAGTGGCCATAACGCATGTACATATTGTGCAGGGCGCCATGAATTCACGTGACGAGGGAAAGTCGCTTTCTCTTTCTTCGCCTTCATTGAAGGTGCTGTCATCCGTATTCGCTTTAAATTGTTACGAAAAAAAAAAAATACTATTCGCTTCCCCTTCTGGATGTATGCAGATGTAAACTTGTATTCTATTTTTGCGAGCATTATTTTCCGCCTATAAATTTAACAGTAAGAAATGACCAAATGGACATATCGGAACGGCAACCGGGGTTGGCGTGAAAAAGGAAATTGAATTATCGCTTATATTTGTTACACCTGCCGGTGATGCTAGCATCATTGAAACATCATTTAAATGATTAGAAAGGAATGTTCTTAGAGAACTACTTGTGGCCCCTCACCCCATATAGAATGTCCACTTTATAGGTACGCAACTTGTGCACCGAAATGAGAGGAAAGAATCTTCCCATCATCAAATATATAGTTGCCATGGAATGCACACAAATGTGAACACATACGTGTGCCCTGTAAAGTAATTTCTTAACGTCTAAATTATGCATGTACCCATCTATCACTGTCGTCTTGGTCCCATTCATTTGTCCTAAGTGTGCATTGAAGGGATTTTCTCCTACCCTCCGAATTTGATGGTGTAATTTGCCTTTCCACAGATTATTTGCTTATTTTCATGTAACATTTTCTGTTTCAGTAAATTTGAACAGGAGCGAGTCCTATCAACGCAAGTGTTAATTCCTTTTTTCCATCTAGCGAATGCATCTAATGTAAAGGGTGAAGAAAATGTTCCTCCCCTTATCGGGGGGGTCAGACGCTGGCAGATTAACCCGTCCGCTTATTTGTAGGGCACAAATAACTGCGACTATGAAGAGGAAAATGGATGGAACCTACAATGGAATTACTCTGAACAAGCCATTCATTAAAATTGATAGCTTATCAGTTTGCAGGATGGGGACGAAGTCTTGTAGAACGGTCCACTACAAAACTACACATATAGGTGTCCAAATCTACCTCCGGGGCTCATTTAATAAGTGGTAAGAACAAAATAATGTTCTAGTTATTCTGTGTCAATGTCGATATGTACATAAGGATGCCTTTAACAAACACCTGAAGGAACATGGGACTTCTGTTGCGTGTGTGCCCAATACTACGGAGTAATAAAGGAAAAAAATAAGTTGTAAAAATAATGGCACAAACAGGTGTGTCATTTGGGTGGATTCGTGCCTCTCGTGGGGTTATCCCTCCGCGAAGGTTATTCCCCGCATGAACTAATAACCTGCAAAGGTTACCCCCTCGAGAAGACTACTCGCCCCGAACATTTCCTCACTGGTCCCCTTCCGTTCCAAGGGTATACTACTTTTGTGAGGAAAAAAAAAGCAGCCATTTAGGCACATTTAAAGGGGGGGGAAAAAAAAATCGAAGCATCTTCATCAAAATTTGAATTTAAAAGGAATAATAAATTCCACAAATGGAAAAGGAAGTAAAGGGAATCGTTGTTTTACTGGTTTATCAAAAGACAAAAACATCTATTCTTGTATGTAGAATAACAGAATAGTAGCAAGTGTGAAAGGCTTTCTTTTCTCTTTTTTTTTTCTTTATGCATGACTGAATGAAAGGAAGAAGCTTTTTGCGGGAATAACACTGCACAAATGTATCACATATAGTGCATGATATCTTAACAAAAATATGTTTTCAAAAAAAAATAAAAAAAACAAAATTAAAACAAAAAAAAAGGGGTAAAACAAGGGGGGAAAAAGGAAGCAACAAAACGTCGCATCGCCATAGAAAGCGGCAAAACATATCGCGGTATCGCTGTAAGGCGATGACGCGCAAGGTGCCACATGCACGTACACATATATAAGCGCATATATACTTACATACATGCGTGCACGCATACAATTTCGAGTTGGGTGTTCTTAAACCGAATCCTTCCTCTATCATGACATTATACAACGCAGAGTGGCCTACACATAAGCCATCACCGTCAGACAGTATTGAAGGCTAAGGTAAAGGAAAAGGGATTGAAGCTTTCGTCAGTTTGGATAGTAAAAATGATGTACCCAGTGTATAGGAAGACATCTGGATCTTTTTTTTTCCACCTCGTGTATCTTCTCTTTTCGTCTCCCTGCTCATTAATATACAGAATGGTGCTTATAGCAGTTGAAAGAAAAATAAACTGTCTGTGCTTTCTTTAAAAACAAAAAAAAAAAGTCTTGTCGGCTGTGATTTAGCTACCCTAATGTGAACATCGAATCTTACTGCTATTAATTTTGGTGCGAAATTTCTTTTTTTTACTTTTGCTCTCATTTTTTTTTCATCTTGTTTTGCTCCTCTCTCTCACCACCACTTAAGAAGCGAGCGCCTTTTATATTTTTTTATATCTTTGGTCAGTTCTTGTTTCAAGCTTTTGTAAATTTTCTGCGTTTTCCGTTTCCATACATCAACAAAATCTTCCAGAAATATTTTAAACCTTTCTGTGTCTTCAACGGGAGAATCTCTAGCAAAGTCAAAAAAATATTTGTAGGAATAATAATTCAAATTCAACATCTTTTTGCCGATCGTCTTTTTGCACTTCATACATAACTCATTTAAATCTTCAGAGGGTATGTAATGTCTCTTTCCTAATTTCTCGGCCAGCTTTTCTAACTTAATTAACAATTTACGGTAATTATGTTGTAGATAGCAATGATAATGATAGAAGGTAATGTACATATCATACTCTACTATTAATGGACCAAAGGAATTAATAAGTTTATTTAATTGCTTTTTGGATAATTCCATGTCAACATCTTCCTCAGTAATTCTATATGGCATGGAGTAACTCCTTGAGGCGTTACCAGATTGACGTTTGCATTCTTCCCTCATTCGATATCTTTCTCTCATCATATTTTTATATGCAACTTGATCTTCTCTGCTGTCATAATTGCTTTCATTTCCTCTCCCCCTACTGTATGAAAATTCTGATAACTCTCTTGATGGACTATCAGAAAATCGTGTGTATGTTGTCAATGGAGAATTGCTTGATTGTAGCCTATAAATGTCATTCTACAAAGAAAGCAACAAAAGGGTTGTTAAAGTAGTGAATGAAAAGGCGTCTCGTGGGCAACCAATTTGACAAGATAGCCATTTCGTCAGATTCCACAGGGGGTGCAAAAAAGAAAAAAAAAAAAGAATGCATCATTTAGAGACAGCTCCTTTTATAGGACATGTACAACTCTCTCTTTTCTTTGCTTACCCGGATTATAATAATTAACAGAACAAAGAATGATAAGACTACAGCTCTGAACAAGAGACTTCTTTGGAAACTCATCTTCTTGGAACCTTTTTCCTCTTTTTACTTGTCAATTGGGAATGCAAAACTGTGAATATTTTGTGTCTTTACACCTTTGGGACAGCTAAATTGCTCATCATATACATTTAAGTTTACCTGTGAAGGCGGGAGTAGAGGTTATTGTTAGGCGGGGGATAGGCGAGGTTTAGGTGCGAGGCTAATAGGTGTCCGACCAATACCGACGTGCTCGTTCGTACGAGAGAAATGATTCCTTACTAGGATGCTATCCTGTAAGGTAATAGAGATATTTCAAACCTACTTTAACATATTTTAAAATACTCCATTAAACAAAAAAAGAAAAAGGAATGATAAAACACCGAAAACAAACTCTTCTGACAAAATCAAGAATACACTCTCCTTTTAGCCACAAGCCGTCAGGAATTAATTAACGCATAATAAGAGAGAAAGTTCGTGTGAACAGAAAAAAAAAAAAACAAAAAAAAACCCATCTTCCTCATATAGTAAATAAAAATCTGGACAAATTTCAAAATCAAATAGAAATCATTTCAATAAACTAGGGAGTCATTTCTCTTAATAAGAATAACAAAAACATATATAACTTGTTACAAAAAAAAAATTAAAATATATTAACTAACATTTTCGTGAACATAAAGCTTTCTAAAATTTTTAGCCATAATTCCTGCGAATAGCAGTAGGGCAAGAAGAGGGGGAGCGGCAAAAGGAGAAAAATCGTAATATACATTGCAACCAAAATTTTTTCGTACATCTAGTACATAAAAATATATATAAATATGTAAAAATATATGTAAATATATTAAGAATATAGTATATGTGTAAATATATACTAATATATATAAAATATACAATATATAAAAAAAATATATACTTAAAAACGTAGCCAAATTGAACAATACATGTGGTGCTATAGCCTGGAGGTTGTTATAAAATATATGTAGGGCGGCAGCGTTGCATTTTTTTTCTGTTCAACCATTCTACAGCGCTAGTCTGTGCGCTCGCACTTGTACGTTCACAAAATTCGTTCAAAAAAAAGTTCACTGGGTAAAAAAAATTCAATCCTACGTGCGTGCAAGTATTTATGCGTATGAAACTGTACATATGAATTTATACGTATAAATTTATAATAATATTATTATATACATAATAACGTAGATTTTTATATTTATTTGCCTCTCTCCTTTTTTTTTATGCTCGCTTCTGCATTCTTTCCGACAAAACTTTGTACTGCCTTTCTCTTCCGGGCGAACAAAAGGCGTATTTTATTTTGCTTCAGCCTTAACAATTTTTTCTTCTCTTCCTTTTTTTTATGGCATCATGTGACCGCTCTGCTAATCCGTAGCTTTGCAAAGATGCTAAGCGAATTATTGGGTAACATTTATTTTCAATAATTCCTGTAAAGCATCGCAGGATTGGGTACTCTAAAGGGGTGAGTTTAATTTTCGTTTAAAAATGAAAGAAAAGGTCATTCGCGAGGTTTATTCTGCCGTGTGAGGAAAGCAGTGATGTGATGCGATAGGATATGAGATGTTATTTGAGATGATTCGATGCCGTGTATATAGAGGGGGGGTGAAACCCATCATCTTGTTAGCGGCATAATATATATACTTATACGTACAAAATTGCATATCTGCATTCTTACGTACCCCCCAATCCCGCGTTAAAGCCGAAGAAACCGAATGAGGTAAAAAACTTCTCATTGACGCGTTCCATGAAGAGTTTTATTTCTCCAATATTATCTGTTCTAAGGAGGCTTGATGAAATGCGATGAAGGAGGTAAGCAGGAAAGATGGCTTAGGTAATAAATTGAAAGGGAAAAAAAAAAAAAAAAAAAAGAAGGGGAAAGAAAATTCGCCATTTGGCAAACATGAGGCGTGCAAAGGGAATTGTAAAAATAAGTGCAGATCCCATTCTGCATAATACTCACCTCATACAATTCTTAAGCTTAAGAAATTGATAGTTTTAAATTCTGATTTATGCAAACCATTGAGCCATTAAGAATTGCACCGAATATGTGCTATCTTGTTCGTGCGGAATTCTTTTCTGTTAATTTATACGTGATAAATTCATCGCTCATTTGTTTACCCCTTGACACCACGCACCGTTTGTGGTACCAGTAATGATAAAGGTGGTTCGCATTTGCTCAACGTTTGGGTGTTCATTTTGACCCTAACTCCACGCACAACACATAGCTGTCTGTTTTCAGCAGTGGTCCCTCCGTGTGGCGTTTAGCATCAACAAAAAAAGGGGGCGAGTTACCTTTCCCGATCTCTCCGCTTTCATTTTTTGCTAACTTTATGCACTGGGACAAATAAAAAAATTTTAACGTCGCTGCGATGTGTTTCTTAAGCAATGAATCTGTACACATATAAAGGGGAAGAAGAAGGATTAGGCCTAATGCCTTCTACCTACATGACTTGATCCTGTCTAAAAAAAAATTGAGACGTGGTAAACTCTGCTCCCCGAAAACTACAGAGCAGGGGGTGAAACATCCCCACCGTTGTTTTGTGTATTCCGATCAACAATACTGGCTTGTAAGTAGATGATAAGTGTGCGAACATTTGACAAAAAGGAAGAAACAAATTCCTTTTGAAAATTTTGTCCCATGTGCAAACAGTACAGAACAGAGGAAGGCTCCCGAAACTGCACGAAATGGTGCGTAAAAGTGACTCCAAATGGAAGTTAAAAAAAAAGGGGGTATGCTATAGGTATATGTAAATTTTAACGTTCCAGACGGTTATGTAAACCTCATTTTGCGCTATCATTCGGGGAAAATTATGAGAAGATTTTTTAACGGACTTCCATTTTTATAACAAAGAAAATGTGAAGTATCGCCGCGCGTTGCTCTTTTGACGCATGGCATTCTTCACCATAGTCGCTCCCCTTTTTTCTGCATTTGTGTTTGCAAATGTGTATACTGAGGAAACAGATTGGGCATGTTTATAAAAACTGCTCCATTCAACACCGAATGGGGGGAAAAACTTTAGCATTAAAAATGTTGCTCGCAGCTAGAGCAACAAGACATCGTACAACGGACTGAAAAAGCGTGGCGGAACACGCCCCTTAATGGGCATATTTCTAAATCTGCAAATGCAGTGCGAATTATTCGTGCCGTCCAACTTTTACCATTTCCAAAGCGGTCTTTTCCATTTTCCACATTTTTTAAATTAATATCACACATCTGCATTGTAGTTTTTTTAAAACAAAAACGATTGAATGGATGGAGGACGAAGGAGAGACATATTTTTATAAATGCTTCCAAAGTTCGATAAATAAAATAAAAGGTGCAAATAAAATTCAAATAGACTTCTCGTAATATGCTAGCAAAATGTAAAAAAGGAGAAACCAAGGGGAAGAATAGGAATAGTATAAAAAAAAATTGCCACAATCAAGAATTCGCCCAGCGAGGGCACATTTTTTTTTTTTTCGTTTTTTTTCTCAAAAAAGAAACAACCCTATTCACGAATAGAGACGCCTAACCAGCTTCCAAATTTTTACCCTCGGTGATGCGAACAATCGCCTTGGACCAAGGTTCGAAACAAATTGCGATTTTTAAGAATGATGGGAAAAAAAATGACGCACACATGCTACATGCGCATATCCACATAGATAAGGAATGACACAGTTTAGTAAAACAGAATTCTGAGAGCTTCGCCAACAGGAGGGACAGGTAGACGATTATCCACCTATATGCTGCGATATCTTTTTTTCGAGATCATTTGCAGGCTGTGTTGCATCCAAATTGATTAATAAATTTTTGTCTTTATAATAATTGATTAAAGGAGTTGTTTCACTTTTAAAAACGTTGAGCCTTTTTTTTAAAACTTCCTCATTATCGTCTTCTCTCTGTATTAAGGGCTCATTTGTTATATCATCCTTAAAAGGCGTTTTTGGAGGATTAAAAGTTTTATGGTAAATTCTTCCCGAAGGTTTGTGAATTAATCGGCCACTTATTCGCTTGACTAATACATCGTCTGGGACGTTAAAGTAGAAAACTCCATTCAGCTTCATTTGATTCGTTTGTAACAACTTATTTAAATCTTCCGCCTGTTTCACATTTCGTGGATAACCATCAAGGATAAATCCCTTTTTACATTGTGGAGATTTTAACTTATCGTCCACCAAAGTTAGAACCACATCATCATCCACCAGCTTTCCTTCATTGATAATATTTCGGATTTTATTTCCTATATCATTTTTCTTTTCCGCTGCTTCTCTTAGTAGGTCTCCAGTAGACAAATGGCAGTAGCAGTGCGACTTCTTCAGATTGAGCGATTGCGTCCCCTTAGAAAAATCATGGAAAAAAATTACGTGTGTGTGCACCTGTGCGATCTCGTCAACATCTCTCTCACAACCATGTAGGTACGCGTATATATACACACCATACAACTGGTCGCGCTAGAAAAACCCTCAACCACACATGCGGGTACTACACGCAGGCCACTACCCGGCCGACAGAAATAAATGGATAAACTTCTCCATCTGCATTTTCACAACAAATTAGAACTTTCTTCTCTTTTCATACCTTTCCCGAACCAGGGGCTCCCAAAAAGATGTACCTTCCATCCGGTTTATTTAAACATGAGTATCTTCTTTTCAATTCATTCAACAGGTCAACAGTCGAAAATTTTTCTAAGTTGTCGCTCATTATTGGGAAGAATTGTGCAATAGGTAAAACTAACAAATGGCATTTAAAGGGGGGAGGGGATTATTTGTGCAATTTGGTATATATAAAATTCTACTTATATATGAGCAGCCTTCAAAGGCATACAAATGTATCACACGTGCAGCTGATGATAAGCAGCAAGAGAAGCGTAGATGAGCAAACTGGAGAAGAAACAGAACAAGGGCAGGATCAGCGGCAGGAGCAGCATAACGCTATATTTTATATGAACAATGTTGATTTTTTTCTTTTTTTTTTCTTCTCATTACTACATATAACTGGTATTATGAGCATGGTATGTGGAAGGGTGCCTTGCGGTGGGAGGGAGGAAAAAAAATTACAACTTTTTAGCCTTATTTATATATGTGCCTTGAAGAAAATAAATAGGGGAGAAAAAGAGGAGGCCAAGATGAGGGTAAGCAAAAGAAGAACATTACGGCGGAAGAGTTTTAAGGCAAATATCTCTACGGCACTGTTCACAGTTCATTACTTTATAGGGGCAAAACAAGAAAGGCGTAACGAACGGCACAGGGGGGGATGTATAATTTATTTCCATGCCAGAATTGACTCCAATCTGTGCTTCACCATACCATTAACCTCTATGCCACGGGCGGACGCTTATTCTGTATGTAGATCTTAGTAAAGGGAAGATCTGAAAAGAAGAGGTTTACCGAAATGTATCCGGCAGGATATTCGGTAAAATTGCGAATTCACAGACGATTGGGGAAATAATTCTTTTAGCGAGGCTCCTGTTTAGTGAAAGGCGTTGGCAAAACTGCTTTCAGCGAAACCGCATACAGGGCATTGCAACTAGGAAAGTCCCAGAAGAAAACAGCGCGTGCGTCAACCGTTGCTAAATTTCTCAGTGCCTCCGCTCCTAGTCAAACAGCTTCACCATATTACCCCCTGCGCAATGGCAAAAGCAGTTGCGCCGTGCACCTTTTTTATAAAATAGCCACCACGTGAAGCGCGCATTATTGCATACGTACGACAGGGCGGATATATATAATATAAGTACCCATTTAAGCGCACGCACACACATGTGCATAACCGTTCACATACGCCCAGCCGTGTTGGCCTGAGCGTACCCCTCGGAACGCCCACACGGAGACCAACTGCCCACATGATGGCACTGTACATCATCGGCCTCGGGCTGGGGGACGAAAGAGACGTCAGCGTAAAGGGAAAGGAGCTGATTGAAATGTCAGACGTAGTATATCTAGAATCATACACGTCCGTTTTATTGGTTTCAAAAAATGCCTTAGAAGAATTTTACAAAAAAAATATTAAGGAAGTAGACAGAAATCTTGCAGAAGAAAATTGTGAAGAGATACTAGAAGAAGCAGTAAATAAAAAAGTGTCTTTCCTAGTTGTCGGAGACCCATTATGTGCAACGACACATCACGACATTATCCTTCGCGCAAAAAAAAAAAATATTCATGTCCAGGTAATTCATAATGCATCCATCATGTCAGCCATAGGAGAAAGTGGAATGCAACTTTACAACTTTGGTCAAACTGTGTCCATTCCATATTTTGAGGAAAGTTACAGACCCACTAGCTTTTACGATAAAATTAAGGTAAATTTAGACAACAATTTCCACACCTTATGCTTACTAGATATTAAAGTAAAAGAAAGGACCATAGAAAATATGATGAAAAATAAAAACATTTATGAGCCATCCAGATATATGACCATTAACGAGGCTATTGAACAGCTCCTTTATTGTGAAGAGGTTCTTAAAAAAAATGTCATTACGGATAACACGCGAGGCATTGCCATTGTTCGCATAGGGTCAAACAGTCAGCAGATTGTATCAGGCAACTTATTGGCGCTGAAGTCGATCACTTACAATGACCCCCTACACTCTTTAATCATTTGTGCTCCCACTTTGCATGACGTGGAAAGGGAATACTTCGACATCTACGCGCACAAATGTTGACATGTACATGAAGATATATGTGTACGTATATGTATATGTGTATACATATTTATATTTTTTTTTTTTTTCCCCGTTTGTGAGTCTCCCTCATCCGTCTTCACCTCCTTAATTTTTCATTTAAGTAACAAATTTGCTCACTAATTTTTAATTAACAATTTTGTCCTGTTAAAATTTGCTCGAAACAATATTTGTCTCATTTTTTTTTTTTTTTTTTTTGTATAGCCCCCAAATTGGAGGAATAAAACGCTTGTGTTGGTAATTTATTTTTCATTGGCTGCTTTTTTTTCTTTTAGCATGCAGGGTTTTAAAATGGTGTGCATCTGTTCACGCGTCCTTCTAACTTGGTACGTGTATTGTGTATATCTGTACATACATATATGTGCAAATGTATTCACGCGGCAAGTGTTGGTGTTTCTCCCCACGGCTCTGTATTTACAGCTACCAACGGTGCACCACGAGGATATACGTACAAAATGGAAGGGAACTTCCTCGAATTAACCTTTTTTGAGCAATTTTGTCCCTGCTCTCCATGGGCATAATGAACTTCCCCCAGAAATGCTTTACGATTCAGGACACGTTTAACGGAAGGAAGGTTAGAGGCGCGATACTTTTTAAAAAAGTACATACGAGCAGTTCCATTAGCGTCCCTATCCCATTGTTGACTCTGATACATTGTTGAGTATGAAAAACATGTACACTGATAGGGACATACCCATTTAAGGGCTTCCCTCCTATGCAAGCCTAGAAACTGCGCAGAATGCAACGAAAGAAAAGGAAAAAAAAAAAATGATTAATCTATTGTGTGCCCTATGCGCCCTATGGAACGTATTTTATCTATGCGCGCCGCTCTTCACTTGTCTTCATGTTGAAGACACTGTCAAAATTGAGTTACACAAAATAAGGAGCGGCGATTTTTTAAAAATTTGTTGTGCAGACTTTTGCTCCTTCCAAAAATATGACGTAACTACGAAGACATATCTGTTCATCAAGGAAAAAATAATTTTGCATCATTGTAAAAATGGCATTAATTTGTACCATTCTATTGAATATTTTTTTCACTTCGCTCACTTTGTAAAAAATGATCAAATGATCGAAATTGTTGATTCCTTTGAACATGGAAAGATCAAATTTACCGTTTGGGAGCCCCTTTTTGAATTCCTATCAATCGGGGGTGGGGAGAAATATGTCTATATGCCTCTCGGATTTTATGAAGCTAAGAAATGCAAAAGGAGTCACACAAAGGGGAATGGCCTTGGGGTGGACCCGCTGTGTGATAATTACGGCAGCATCGAATTTAGCCTTAGGAAAGGAGAGACGGAACCATTTTACGAAGGTGCACTGCAGAGAGAACAATATGTAGGCAGCGCTAAACCAGCTAAGACCGACGCGAATTGGAATAAGCCACCCCCCGGAAATAAATTTCCTTGTATGGAAAATTTACCCAAGGAAGGAAATCCTAAAAGGTATAATCATGGAGACGAAAACAATTCTTGTCAAGTAGATCCATTAATGCAGTTGTTTAATGAACTCATGGCTGAAAGGGAAAGGGAAAAAAATAGTTTTTTTCACCACTCAAACACATTTGTAGAGGAGGGTGAAGCTTACGCTGATAATGTGCTAATAAGTTATATTGCAAAAAAACATACACACAAAAATACGTCAAAACCGTGTGGCTCTGTTGGAGGCATATCTAATACATCACTCTACTTGTCACACTGCTTAACCCCCTTGATAAAAAATCTTCTCCTTAGTAACCCCATACTTATATTTTTATTTCAAGACCCAGCAATTTGCGACTTGTGTGCGAAAAGGATGACCATTGTAGGAGAAACCACACGAGGTGGAAAAAAAAGATATAAAAAAGGGTCTCCCCCAAATTACAAATGGATGATAAAATTTGCCTCCTTACTCTTTTTTCTTGCCATTTTAATTGCAACCATTTGGATATTTTTAAAGAGAAAGAAATGCAAAATGAAAGATGAAAAAAATCCGAGGTCTGCTAAAAAAAGGCTGGCCGAAATACACGTAGCGTACAAGAGCAAAATACAAACAAATTTTGGCTCAAAAATAAAAGACATTACGGATGAAGATTTAATAAATCTTATCGCTCATAATAAGGCGGAGCTAATCATTGTCTGTCAACCGTAGCACGCGCTCGGAGGGTTGTGGTAGTGGTAATTTTTCATGTCAAGCTGGAAAATTTCTGTGAAGAAGTGTTCCTCCCCTGCCTACAACGTTTAAGTCATAAAAAAGGTATACATTTCGCGTAGCTGTGTCTGTCATGCTAAATTTTTTGTTTTTACGCGACAATTTTCCTCCCCTACAGTCTGTCACCCAGTGTCATTGCTTCGCGGGGCAAGGACCGAGGATGTATATATAGTTATACATATGGATATATATACATATTTTTCCATTTTTTTTCTTTTTCTTTTCTGCTCATTTGATGTTTCAAAACGTTTCCATGGTCGCATACGCAGGAACAAAAAGCATGTGCATGTTGGAACACCCCCGCATTGACGTGGCTTACATAATAGGCACATAAAAAATGACAACTCGAATAGGCGGCAAATTTCGCCATAGAACAGCGTTCCTTTTAAATTGCTTCTTGTAATTCCATTGGCCAAGCAGCGGATCCACAGGCACGTCAAATTCGACTTTATCTTTTTTGTAACTCCCCTGCAACGGTGATTGAACTCGAGTTTTTTTCGCCTTCCCAGATAATTTAAAATGCAAATTAGTAAAATTGTTACATAATCGCCGGGAAAGAAACAAAAAAAAAAATGATCACTTTATTTTTTTTTTCTTTTGGAAGAGGTAGCCACTTTGTCATCCTCCCCTTCCAATACGTATAAATCCGTACAAGTGCGCAACTTAAAATGAGCACTTTTATCCGATATGTTGACTTAAAGTAGTGGGTAAAATTTAGCAACAATTTGTTCCTGTAAATGGCCTACATATGAAGCTCGTTGGATGCAAAAAAGAAGAGAAAAAAGGGTACAAAAAACTAACCTTTAGATGGATGCAGACTGTTTGAACGGGCCGACAAGGAACTACCATAGAGAAGCGCCGCACTGGAAAAGCACAAATGCGCTTTCCAAAGTGGATGATGTTCCTCTAAGTGAGCTGTACCATGTGCGTACATCCCTGCATACGCCGGTGTAGACAGGCGATCTTAAACAGGAGCGCGGGGTAGCCACGGGCTTGTTTCTTTCCCCCAAGTGAAAAGTCACACAGGGAATATCCCATCATCACCGAGATAAACTCCCCCCAAAATGTTCGACTCCTTCAAAGTGACTAAACTGTGCGACCACGAAAGCGTCAGCAGCCACCTAATAACGATAGGATCATTCAACATTCTCTGCGATTTACCTCTGAACCCAAGGGAAATACTGAATTTTAAGAAAAGCACAATAAGCTGCAACAATGTGGATGAAGACAAGTCTCATGAGGATAAATACATACGGATAACGAACCTGGAGACGGAAGCTCTATCGAATAAGTTATTACTAAACAGAAGTACCGTGCCGATAAAAATTCACATCATTTTAATTTCCTGCAGTGAATGTTTCATGGGGTTACCAATATTTTGCAAATATTTCGACGTATCAGATACGCACATAGTTTGCACAAAAATAACCTTCACCTTCGCATTAAGCGCAGTCGAGAATTTACAGACAAAGGAGAATTATTTGCCTCCCTGGAATGAAGAAGATGATCGGAAAAAGGAGTTTAGCCAAGAGAGTTTCAGAGAAGACAATTCCAGAGAATACCATTTCAGCAAAGATAATTTCAACACTGATGAATATTTGGATTTAAAATTAAGATTCCGAAATTCTCTACATTTATTATCATATAAAGAAAAAATAACCTTCCAGCAAAATGATGAAATTGTCTGTATTACTCCCTACAGCAGTGGGTACTCCTTGGGCAGCTGCAACTTTGTTGTTAAGACGGACCTTATGAATTTATGCATTATTAACAAAAGCTGCTATAATATTAAAAGGCACCCTTCTCCGCTAGATTTGTCATGCTTGGAAAAGGCAGACTTTGTTCTTTTTAGCGCATATGTGAAGGGGGATACAAGTGCGGAGGAGCCGTCCGAGGGGAGGAACGCGCAAAGCGGAGGACCCTCAAAAGGGCAAGCTCCAAACAGAAGCACCCCAAGAAGAAGCGTTCCCAGCAAAAGTCCTCCCAGCAAAAATCGTCCCAGTGAAGGCTCTCCCAGTGAAGACCCCCGCAACGAAGATCCCCCCAATGAACGAACCAGGGAAAAAATAAACATGTACGTCGAAAAGAACTACAAAGATAGCCTAAATAGGATATGCTCCATTATCCTGCGCACGATCAAAAGCAAGGGATGCGTACTGATCCCTGTGGACCTGCACTTCTTGTACTTCCTCGAGTTAATCGAGTTGATAGGCGTAGCCATCAGTAAATATTTAGCCAAAGAAGAACAAGTGCCAATCTTTACCATAATAGGAAACATCAGCAATGTGATTCACCAAGCAGATCTTTGTGCCGAATGGGTGGAAGAATCGAGGAAAAAAAAATGCAGCAAAGTGTCCAATCCACAGGGACCTTTTTCCATTGAAATTATGATAAAGAATAATCGACTAATTACAGGAAATGACATAAATGATATAACCAAATTGTTTAGGTACCCATGTGTATGTTTTGTCCAAGATTCATCTTTGCGATTTTTTGAATCATCCACCTTGTTAGAAAAGTGGGCCATGGAAGAAAACAATGCACTTCTGCTAGTCGATCCCTACTACGACCCTGTATCTGTGTTGGCCCCCTTCCACATCTACCTTAAAAAAATAAATGTCTTTTTTTGCCCCATTTCTTTCGATCTAAATGAGTCAGACATTTGGGAAATTATAAAAACCAGCGCCAATAAAAAATGTGTGTATCTACTGCCCCATGGATTTGAGAGGGGGTACAGTTCACCTTGGATAAGCAGTCAAGGGGACACCACACATGTAGGCAAACAAATCAGCTACAATGTTGGAGAAAAAAACGGGGGAAAAGAAAATTACAATAAAAGCACGAGCAACCCTCCATACGGAAACTACGCAAATGGAAATCCACATGGAGAAGTGAACCAAAACGACATCATCTACATTTACCCACTACGCACGAGGGAAATTATTTATGACACATTTTCCCAGGTGGGTAAAAACATGCACCCCGTTCCCTTTAGTGTCGATGGCACAAACAATTTGAAAAAAATATTAACCAAGGTAGATAACCTCCATTACGCCAAGGTGAGATGCACATATAATAGCACACTCTTTGGGGATTATATAAAGGAAGGTCAAATGGAAATATGCAAATCGGCCTTACACAGCAGGGAGGTAGATAATAAAAAAACAGATAATGAATGGATTAACGAAAAGGGCGTGAATCTCATGTTTGGGTCCATACGCGAAGAAGATTTCGTTGATAATTTACTCCAGTTTGGCTACAGAGAAAACGATTTAGTAGTAAACCATTCAGAGGGAATAAGCACGCCCGACGTGCAGACGGAAAACTACTTGTGGAGCATTACCATCAATTCAATTAACTCCAAAGTGATATGCTACACAAAGTACGACATCGAGGTGATCAGCAGCCATGCGAAGCTGCGTCAACAGGTTAAGGAGATTCTCCAGAGAATCACAACAACGCTATGATTCGCCCATGAGGAGGAATACTTCATAATGGATGAATAAAAAAGGGTGCCCATGAACGTTATACCTACTGTCATAAAATTGGCTACTAATTTTTGTGTGCACTGCCAAGTTGATGTCCCTCCCCCTGGTGGGCCTTCATTTTTGGCCCCCCCCTAACAATTTACGGTATATCTCTTGTAGCCCGCCGCCGTACCACGCTGCTGCACTTATTTGGGCAAAGTGCGGTTGACGCAGTTGGCACGTTTGTCCCAGTTGGTGCGTTTTTTTCGTAATAATATTTCCACTTTGTGTCAACTTCGCCGCATCATCGTCACAACTCCGACAAAGATGTGTCACAATTTTGATACCGCCTGGCCACAACTTCGATGCCGCTTCATCAAAACTTGCGCTTCCAGTTTCTCCGGTTGGCATGGAAGTTGCCCCATATCTGACCCTGCAGGCGCACGCGCTTGAGGTACCCAGGGGGGTGCTTCTCCATCTTGTCCCGCCGCTGCCTAAAATAGAGGTAATACTCGTCGGGGAGGTTCTCCACGTCGTTATGAATACCCTCGATTTTCAAAAGGGCATTCTCCCCTAGCGAGGCCACATACTTGGTTTTGAAGAAGCCTCCCCGGTCAAACGCCTGAGTTGTCAGCTTCCCATTATTGTAATACTGACTAAACACATTATCTGATTTTATTTTCATAACATTCGTTTTTGGATCAATTTGCACATGAACACTTGGAAGAACATATCCAGCTAATTTTCTTTCATATGCGATGTTGTCCTGCTCCAATTGACCCAACTCCATTATGCTGACTGTTCCTACTTCTTGCACTACATAGCGCAGATATATTTTAGCATTGATAAAAACGTCTTTTATTTGTTCCACGTAATTTATGTTAATTCCTGGCATTATTTCATTTCCGTTAAGGAGTATGGTGCGTACATGAGATGCCTTCTTTTGGATAAACTCCATTTTTGTTCCCATATCCATATCGGAGTTTTTAAAAAAAAAAAGAAAATCGCGAATTAAATAATTGTTACAGACCAGCATATTTATGGGCTTCTGCACATGGAATAACTCTTCAAATAAATTCATGCCATCAATAAAATTAAAATCATCATCTGTGAAGTCCTTTTTAAGTAGCAAATTGTGAACAGCGAAATTGTTATCTTTACTTTTCATATGTTCTTTAAACCAATCCATATAGCTATTATAATTTAACGTCTTCTTTTTGCTCGCTTCGGGGAAAGTAACAGTTGCGCCAGAAAATAACAGGCTAAAGAGAACATCAAAATAATGTATATTGTTTGCTGGCACACACATCAAAGCGATGGTGTTGTTTTGCTCCCAATTGAAGAAGTTCGATAATTGCATAGACTGATTGAAAATGCAGGTTGATAAAAACTGTACGCTCTTGTCGCACTCGTTTTCTTTGGATAAGTACAAATGGAAGGCACAAGGGGAATCACTCTGTCTGGAGATCATCCCCCTGGTGACAGAATTATCTGTATCTTCCGCAACCCCTCCGATGAAATATCTCTTTTGCACTTCTTTTATCTCTTCCCACATTTTCCCATTCGTCCATTGTTCATCCTTCTTCGGCTGGTACATAAACTTATCACCGAATTTTTCGCGCCCTTCTTTCAAATCGTCCAAATACTCCTCATGCGATAAAATATCCGGCCTGTCGTAACATATTAGAAAAGGAATTTGCAAGTTAAGAGTAATTTCTTCGATAAAATGCTTGTAGAATGGATGGCAAAGAATTAAATCGATGTTATTCTCTGCTATGTAAAAGGAATATTTTTGCTTTATCTGCTTTGTCTTTTTTACAGGTGTTGGGATGGACACATAATCGTAATTGTTCATTAAAACACAAAATTGAAAAACCAGTTGAGAGTAACATGGGGGGAAAAGGCACCCTATTTTTTTCCCCCTACTATTTGACCAGCCGGGAAGCCCAAAATAATCGTTTACATAGTACGCAAGTTTTTTATTCATTAAGAAAACTTCACTAAAGAATTGATTCGAAGAGACTAAGCAGTTGTTTGTGTAAATGTTGAATGGGCTGCTCATTAGACTTCTCACTGTGCTGAAGCGTCTGCTTGGGCATAGCCAATGGACCCCCATTTTGATATACATATTGTTACTGCGTCTTGCTGCACAGGGGAGGGTGTCCATCAATTTTCCTACGCACATAAATATATATGTCTACCTATACACTTATGTCTCATTTCTTCCGGCTGATGATCTCCAACCAATTTGTCCCTTAAATTGCTAATTAAAGGGACCACCACAATCACCTGCAGCGTTAAACTAAATCTTCGCGCTGTCAAAAGAGTACTCGGAGAATACGCCTCGCACGTGACCTAAAATAGTGGTAACCTCTCCGATGCACATTTTTTTGGGTTTCCAATAATTGGCCCTCATTTAAATCCGCACAGATATGCACTTATACAGTTATTATGCCTTCGTGAAATGCGACGTTACTCATTCATTAAGCACCATCCTCTGGAACACTCAAACTGGGTGTCCCCTTTTTCTGAGAGGGTGAAATATACGCCCCAGAGTGGTACTTCCGTTTGTAAAACTATCTCTACACATAGCACCATATAGCGAAGTCCATTGAGTGAAAATTCTCTCCTTTTCTTCTCCTTCTGATTGGCACGTACATGTAGACATCAGGTTGTCTAAATAAGTACCATGTGAGGGTGACGAATGGAGAGATATTCACATATTTACAACTGTGATGCTGTCGAAAGGTACCCACGTAAGGCTTAAACGTTTGGCATGCGAGTCGTGGAAAGCATAACTGAAGACAGGCTCAGAAGGTGAATACATACGTCCTGTATATGCTATGCATACGTGTTAGCTTGGCTTCCCTGTAGGTCATAAGGACCCAGACAAGTATGCACCTCCGCAGTGCTATCCCTGTTGTGGTGCTTGGCCAAAGAGGGTGAAAAGCGAAGATTCTTCAATTTTGTTCCTTTCCCTTTGATATGCCCTTCACGCGAAAAAGTTCGAAAAGTTAAACACATCTTTTGTCATACGTTTGGCGAGATATGTGCAGTGTGCTCTTGTCAGGCGTTGCACTACATTCATGTGGATATACGCACAATTGCTGCTGACTCTTCAGAGAGAAAAATCCTAATGTATCCTTCGCGAACACGTGACATAGCCCACTTGTACAAAAAGGTGGGAAGTGCATCTTGCAGTGGAATGCTTCTCCTCTCTGCGAAACAATAAATGTGACAAAATCTACCCCCTTTGAAAAATAGTATTTGGATTTTTTTTTTTTCTTTTTGTAGGGCCTATTTTTTTCTGGGGAAGGAATCACCACAAATACAACGTGTTCAAGCGAATCAGCTTTGTTTTTTTTTTTTTTTCTTTTTTTGAGATTAATTTCGAATAAAAGCACACAAGTTGGCGACGTTCCTTAATCATTCTTCACACGACTTTGTGTTATACGTACATATGCATGTACCTAATCGTATGCGCTAAATTGGGAACCAAAAATGGGCGAACATCATTCGGAAGCAGCACTCTTTAGCACGCTGTGCAGTCGCCGCTGAGTTAATATACACAGCAGGGAGGTTTACGTACTTGCCTCATTTTTTAGAACCTGATAAATCTTCGCGTGTGAAAACTTTTCTCCCCAGGAATATGGCCACAAGTGGAAGCACAAGCGCAGTGATTGTCCCAGTTGTGTTTTATACGTAACTAAAGGGGCAGCTGTTAAGCCGCTCCTACACGAAGCAGAATAAAAAAATAGGAAAAAAACAAAAATGGGGAGGAAGAAGCGAAAAATAAATATCGAACTGAAGCCCTTTTGCTACTACTGTGACAGAGAATTCGATGATGAGAAGGTCCTCATCCAGCATCAGAAAGCGAAACATTTTAAATGTTTGCAATGCAATAGGAGACTAGACGTAGCTAGCGGGTTAGTGATCCACATGATGCAGGTACATAAAACCAATTTAAAGACGGTACCCAATGCTCTGCCCAAAAGAAACGACCCAGAAATTATCATAAGAGGAATGGATGGAGTTCCAACTGAAATAATTGAAGAAAATTTAAGCAAATTAAAACAGAAATTAGGAGATAAAAATATTAAAAGACAACAGAGAGTAAACTGGGCACAAGTGACCATGGCACCTACAATGGAACAATTTCTACAGCAAGCTCAAATGGGGAATTTTTCCTTCCCAGGATTTAATTCCCCATTATTACCAGCAAGTAACTTATCACCAAATGTTCCCGCAGATTCGAAGAAAAAAAACACCCCTCCTATGCCTTTATTCTTACCGAACAACTTTACTATGATGCAGCCATCTCCTCCAGGTGCTATTATGTATCCACCAGTTAATCAACAGAATGCCACTATGCCCAATGTGCCACCTCCTAATCTTCCTTTCGGTGTGGCCCCACCTAATCTTCCCCCGTCTGCCCCACCAGGATTATCACCAAACATTCCAACACCTCCACCTGGTTCTGCTCAGAAGTATCCACCCAACATAAACTTCCCAGGATCTGCATTTCCACAAAATTTCTCTCCAAATATGTTCCCGCCATCACCCCATTCGATGTATATGCAACCTGGTCTTGGCCAACCACCGTTCCCTCCTCCAGCCCCATCTATGATGCCCCCCGCAATTCCAGTGTCTCCACCACCAGGGATGGCCTCACACCAGTCCGTAAAACCAAATGATGTAGACGCAAAATTAGAGGCAGGTGCACCAGTTGGGGAAAATTCAGACCAAACAAAATAGGACACGAAAAGACAGAACACTGATGTTAATAATAAACATGGAGAAATAACCAAACAGGAACAATCGCACAGTGCAGACGCGAATGAAAATCGGCGTGGAAGCGACTCCATAAGGGAAAAAATCGTAAGAAAATAAAGCAAAGTGGTAAAACCAGTGGTATATTCAAAATGAACACCTCGGATCCTTCTTCCAGTACACAAAATTTGCCACGAACATGTTACTTAAAAGTCGAATTATCATATCGCAGCGATTTTTTCGCCCCAGCTTGTTACTCCTCAACGGAGCTTTTTCGTAGAGCACAAATTTTCCCATTAGGCGAAAATTTTGCCAACTTCATTTCCACACAGTGTGTTGCATAAAAAAAAAGAAAAAACTTCTTCCTTCGTCTTTCTTCCAATTTGAACAAATAAATTAACAAAAAAATTGCAGTTTTGTAAAAAAAGTCAGATCGGAGAGGTGGCAAAACGTTAATTCGAAATGGTGTACCCAAAAATTGCAAGTTTGGGAACAAGTAAAATACAAAAAAAATGAGGCAAACGAGAAAGTAGATACATGGTTCTGCACACAGATTATCAGTGTGTGTGTAAGGGGAGGTATAGGTAGGTATGTATTTACGTGTGTGCTAACAAGTCTGCCCCTGCGCTTTAATGTCGCCCATCCCCATTTAACACACACGCAATCTGCACATCGTACCGCCAGCTATTCAAAATGATATGCACTATGGGGGGACTTTCCACTCGGGGAAATACGTCATTCCTATATTACTAACCGCCTAATCGAGAATAATAACTTTTCTCTTTTTGCCTTTCCTGATATCCACATTATCCGAAACGGTCGAGCCATTCTCATTTTCAGGATGTTTCACACCGCTGCAATCTCGTTTGACCTTTAAAATGTACACGCAGTCGCTGCCTGGAGAGGTAAAAAAAAAAGAAAATACACAAAAAATAGACAACGTCTTCAAAGGAATCTACAAACCAGTCGCACAAACAAAGCTTCCTAAATCTAAGAAGCATTCATATATTTCCCTTCATCTAATTGGGGTAATTTTTTCCGTGGTAAACAACTCTGTTTTTTTTTTTTTTTTTTTTATTTTTCGCTCCACGGGGAAAATATGCTCCTTCACTTTTTCCTCTTTCCAAATGATGGACAAGAAAAAATGACTAATTTTGTCCAGTGGCATGATTTTCCTTCTTCCCCCTCGGCGAATTAACATGGGGCACATTTTCACAGCGCCCCCTTTAATACTCGTTTAAAGAGTCCTATTACCATTGTTTTTAGATGTGGCTCCTATGCTACCGGGTAAAGTTATAACATTTTCTTCACTCCCCTGTTCACTTTCCGCTTGCCTCTTTTTTCGCTTACCTTCTGGCATCTCAAATGATTTCTTACACACATTTTGCGCAGGCGCATGTGGCTGTTTCTCCTCCTTTATACAATCCGAATTCGAAATGAAGACATTTTTATTCCTTCCTTGCAACGAATTTGACCGTCTAAAATCATTTTTTCTGTTCTGTGAGGTTTCCCCATTTTCACCATGGTCACGGTTCGTCGAATTCATCGACGAATCCATCACAATTATATCATTCGAAATGGAACAAATTTGATCATCACGTTCTCTTCGATTTTTAAATAAATTATCATACTGTTCTGGTGTTAAGCAACTTCCAAGGGAGATATTTAATATTTCCCCATCCTTCATAAAATTATTTAGTAGTCTCATTTCAGCAGCCTGTGCTGCCATTAATTTGGGGCTGCTATTACATATTCGGAAATCACTTCCTGCTGTTTTTTTCCCCCCACTGATTTGATTTCCTGTTTTTCCAAAAGTGTATAATTTATTATACTCTAACACTAGTTTGTCCAAGAGTTCATAAAATGCTCTGTCATGTCGGCTGTGCACTATGTGCGCTAGCTCGTGCAGCAGCGTCCCCATGATGTCGTTGAAGTGAAATAACTCCCCTCCCTTTTTTTTCCGCATCCGTATCTGAAAAGGTGCACAAACGTGTAGGGAGAGGGTACTTTTATGTATGTGTGCACCCCTTATACATATTCCTAGACCCACAGCTGAGGAAACCCTCACCCACTCTACTGCGCGCATGCAACAAACGGTCAGCCGATATGTACCTTGATTTCCGATTTAGTCGCAATGTTCAGCCCTAGCAAATTTGGACTGCGGGGTAAAAACTCGGACAGTAACTCAACCGAAAAGCGCATCTTCCTCATAATTGGCTGCAAAAAGGAGAGACAAAAGTGGGGGTATTAAAACGAGCGGGGAAATGTAGAAACGGCATAAAGGGTAACATACATCCCCACGAATGAATCGGAGTGGCGCCGGCAACACATCTAAAAGATCATCTGAGAGAGCATCTCCATGCACCCTGCATCTCCCACATTAACATTTCCCATTGTGTGCTCCATTTTTGTGGACATCTTTTCGGTTAGCTACCCCTCAGTTCTTCACCTTTCAGTGG